GATGGAGTTCTTCCACGTTCGCCTAATAATATTCCAAATCTTTCTTTAAATGAAGCTATACTGCTTCTGTGAATTGTAATTTATAGAGAGAACACTGCTTCAAAGTATACTTTCAGCCTATCGTAATGACAGTTCGACCGTCGATTCTGACTATATTCACCGGATGCTACACAGCGACGGTGCCCTACACGTGAGTTACTTTAAGTGATAGTAGACTTGCGCTGCATCTACGGCACTCTCTCTTTCCTTCAGCCGCGTGTGCCCGGTATCGAGACGAAGTCAAGAAGAACGGAGGTTGGATCGGACGTCGGTGATACACAAACATAATAGACGGGCGGAGCTGCCATGCATGCTTCAGATCACATGGCGTGGGGATACCACAAAGGCCTGTCATAATACCGACTCTTTGGACACCTGGATGATGGACTATTTGGAATCAACCTCATTAGTACTAATCACGACCAAGAATTGTTCCTTATCTCCTTCTTCTCGAATTTCCTTCCCGGTAAACCCTTTGCTTCTAAATATCCCTCTCGGCGGACGTGTCCTTAATTTACCTAACTACCATCTTCCTAGCGTTTATCGGGCCTGAAGTTGCTGGTTTTCGATTGCTCGATCGTGAGTGAGACCATATTAAGAGATAACAGTTTGGTTTTCTTGAAGGTCTCAAGTCGGTAGGTATGAATTCGGTGATTTAATTAGCATAGGGCTAATTAAATGAAATAAAACTGGGGTAATTATGCGGAGAAAATGATCTGAAAAGTTCTACTGCATCATCATCATCATCATCATCATCATCATCATCATCATCATCATCATCATCGTCGTCGTCATCATCATCATCGTCATCATTATGGTGTGGCAAATGAATTCCAGATAGTAAACCCAACGAGGCTACATCTCCTACATTCAACGGGGATGCCTAATGACCACAAATCACACAGTTTCACTTATCTCTCTCTTTCTGTGCACATTCCGCACTGTCGTTTCTTTTAAGTATACAACCGCCCATGGGAACTATAATTAGAACCAAAAAATGCAGATGCAATAAGCATATTCCGTTCTTCAGATAACTTGATAATGCGCAGCTGCAGTTTGGCTTTGATCAATACCTGCATTGACTATTTATTTAAGACCCAAATGAGGAGGTAACACTTACGCCCATTGGACACATGACCTTTGCAGAGTTTCCAGTCTTCGATGGGCTGTTCGAGAACAGGGTGGAAGCCAGTCGCGTGCGTGGGCTGTAGAGCGATGATTTTAGTGGAGTCTTGAGTCGTTCAGCTTCTGAGCTCTCCGGCGTTTTCTTTTCGGTCAGCATCCGTGAGACGGGCGACAGCTGACCCTAGGAAAGTAGATAGTGACACGGCTAGTTTTTTGCCCTTTTTTCTGTCACAAAATGTACTCCAAAGTTTACCAGCTCGTCAAGAATGGCTAGTTGCATTCTAACTGAAGACTTCCTTACCACAGATGTAAGAGGGCTGTCCTTCTCGACAGGTTTTGGACTTTTCTTGACTGAAAACATGGACTGCTTTGTGACAGACTTCCTCAACGCTGCTGCTGAATTGGCTGTTTCAAGGAGACGTCTGGCAGGCAAGTGTGCCTTTCGCTTTAAGCTACTCTTCTTAATTCGGACAGAATTTCTGGGCGTTTCAACTGGAGATGCGTTACTCGATGAACTGTCCGCCGGTAAAGCGACTGCAGACCTTGCATTTGGCACCGGCGAGGTGACGGGCTCCAGAGTCTGCTTTTCCATTAGCTCTTTGTAGCACATTTCTCGAATGAGGTTAGAAATTAGAGCTGGCGGCCTTGAAGGTGTTGCAAAGGGCACCTCATTGGAACTGTATGCCGATCCGTTCATGACGTTTTTGACTATCTGAAGATTATAAAAAAGTGATAGGCATGGCTTATTTACGTCCGAAAGTGGACAGTGAGGACAAAGGTAGATCAAATCTGCCTACTGGAATGCGGCAAGGAAATGTCGAGAAGGAGGCAATTACAGTTTTGGGCAGTTTGATGTCACTTCGAGCGCACACGAGACTTCCCAGTATTTTAAGTCACCGTTGGATACAACACGTAACTCCGGTTACTCCTGAAACACAAACTATGGAGGACGGAGAGAGAAAACCTAGGCCGAGGCAGTCAGATTAAAAAGATTTTCCAAAATATGACCAATGTTATTTGCGTGAAATTTTCTTATTCTACAGAAGTCAGGCCTAAATGAGCTAGAGCCAAACAGCATCAACAACTCTATTTACCACTGTCTTTGTCCAAACACTTATTCTGAATACTATCTGTTTGTCTACAATATTCTCAATAAGGTCCAGAAATAAGTGCAGTCTGCACTATAACCTATTCAGGTTGACAAACCTCTTTTATGAAGAGAGGTTGGTATACCCGGGAAGTAATGTATGCTTGGCAGTCGTCCACAAAAAAAGCGTTCCATTGTATAGTCACAAAAGGGGCCGAGAACATGGCCGCCAGTCGGCAGCAGCTAACTATCCATAAACCTCAAGAGAACGAGAAATTAT